CAAGCCCTGCGGTCATGGTCACAACGGACCTTTGGCAAATATGCGCCCACCAATAGCTCTGTCAAGAGAACTACTATATTATAAGCACTGTTTATAACCAGTCTTATGCATCAGGAAGTAGAGAGGTGTTCCTGTATGTCTGAGTCAGTGCAGAAATATCATCAACTGAGAAGTGTTTGGGATCTTTCAGCACTGAACAATGTGATCTTAGGGATCAAAGATATATATAAGTAGTTATAAGCTATTACCTATGTGTACATGGATGACAGAGGCTTGTTGATTCCCGACAATCGACCACACAAAACATAAACCCAGGCAGAAGAGGAGCCGCCACAAATTGCCTTATCAAGGTGGTCCTCTCTCTTATGTGATGCTTTCGGGGTCCTGTTCACTTTAGGGGGTTGCCGTCGCGCGTTTTCTGGCCGTTGGCCCCTTGGAGCCATCTATCGTCTGGCAAGGCTACAGTGGATAATGCCGCGTAAGATGATAGATGGCTTGCAGGCAAGTGAGTCCGACTGCTCTGGAATATGATCCAGATAGCGTACCGTTCTAAAGCACTAGTCGTCTAGGTCGTGGTACATATGAGGTCCATGTGCGATCCCCTCTATTATAAGCAGCTGCTCAGATATTGGACCGATTTACAGCATTGACCGTGACGTCGCAGGCCGAACCCTATCGAGCGCATTATACGACACAACAAACATAGCATTATCAACTTCATGTACACAAATTTTGATTACAACGTGCATTGATGAATCCCAGGTGCAGCTACAGTAGAGCCGTACATGCACGGCTCAAAGGATGAAATTATGGAAACAAATGTAGGGGGGAGGGCGCGGAACGTAATTAGTGAGGGAGTGTAGGCTTGTGAGCAACGAGAAACGTGGACAGAGGCAGACACTAAAAAATATACGTGCAGTAGCGGGCTCCGAGATGATTATATGAAGTATGTACTTGCGAAAATTGCTGCGAAATTGTCGAAATAGATATTTGGATAAGTGACAGGATTAGCTGAAGGTTAGGATCGGCCGGCCGTCATGAGAGCAAGAAGAGCCACTGGCTGATGTGAAGAAGTCCGGAGCAGGGGATGCAGGATACAACGGATGCTTAACAGAGGCGGGCAAGCAGATTAGAAGTCGCTTAGAGTAATGAATATTAACGATTGCTTTGCGTATGATAATGTTCCCGGCTAGGACATTCACATCACGACCTGCGGCTCAACTTGTCCCATGGCGGCGCTATAGTAGCTTGCAGGTTCTGCCACATACCGGTCACCCTGGGATGCGTCAACAGGATAAGCTTGACCGTAGGAAGGCGGGCCGTTTCTCGGACTGGCATATGAACCCGGAGCAGAAGCGCTGTACTGCATAGATGGCCGATGCGGGTACGTCTCCCCGTAGGCTACAGGCACAGGAGCGGTGTAAGAAGGAACATCGGGCTCCAGGTGGTCAAAATTGATCATCTGAGACATCTGCTCCTGGAGCTGGCCATTGGAACTTTGGCGAGAATGCGAACCTTGCGCGATCATACCAGCAGGCGCGCTCTGGTCATGCATGTAGTCCAAAGACACGGAGCGATTCGCAGGACTTGAGTGCGCTGATTGCGAGTAGTGATTGCTAACAGCCATGGCGTAGGGGTGGTAACCACGAGCTCCCGCGGCGGCGTAACTGGTAGCAGAAGAAGGTCTTCGGATGCCATCCGTGACTCTGAGCATCGACGGCGTCGCGCTACGGTATCGCCTGGCCGGCCCAGACACTGAAGGAACACCTGCATACTCCATTGACGAAGGGTACAATGTAGACTGATCGAAAGTCATCTTATGCGAGGGTGCTGACATCGACGCCGCGTGTCCATACTCAGGATATGCGAATGGCGGTTGCTGGGTCGAATGGAAGGAGTTGGCACGACCAACGAGATGTGACGGTGGCGGCGACGGCGCACTGGCAGAAGTGAAAGCAGGGCTAGGCTGGTTCCTGGCATCGCCATACAGATAAGGACTGTGCTCAGGCGACCCTGCCATATAAGCAAATTGAGGTGTCCCAACAGCGCTCGGCGCCTCAGGCACATAGTAGACATCCTGAGCGCCGTCGATGTAGGTGGTATTGCCCTGATCGACGGAAACACCCTGCAAGCCCATCACGTTCCCTTGGGTGTCCATGACAGCGGAACCCATACCGCTCATGCCGTCCACTCCATTAACATAGCCCATCCTAGGATCAACGTAAGGCATAGAACCATCATCACCGTCAAGCTCGTCGATGTCTTCGCTCTCGATGTCGGCGTAGCCCTCGTCAGCACCCATCGTTGCACCATCGGCGTCGGCGCGGAGATGAATCCGAGTATGCTGAGCAAGGTTGTCCGATCGAGAGAACCGCTTCTGGCAACGATTGCACTGGAACGGCCTCTCCATTGTATGGGTCCTCAGGTGACGCTTCAGATGCTCCATGCGCTTGAAGAGTCTCCCGCAGGAGAATAGCGGGCAAACAAATGTTTTCGGCATGCCACTGGGGTGCAGACCGTTCACAGCATCAGTCGCAGGTACGCAGGACTCTGTAGGCAAAGTGGCCGAGCGCGTCGCGCCCGAGGATTGTTGGAAGTCCGCATAGCTGTTCGTCGGTAGCATAGGATGGGAGTAACCACGCTCGACTCGGGGTCTATCCTCCGAACTGCCTCCAACACCGATGATGCCGTCCTCGTCAGCAGCTGCGGACTGGGACACGGTGGCATGCGCCTGAGGAGGGTAAGAAGCTTGCGTAAGAGGAGGTATTGAAGCATTCATCGCTTCAACCTTCGCTACAGTCTCTTGAGCGATCTTTATCCGTCGCTCTTGTTCCTTCTCAATCGGATTCGCTGGGCTCATCTCTCCCCGAGCTTGAGCGAAGAACATATCAGCAGCGCTCATGTCACTGTCAGAAGGGCCATAGCCGACGGTGACGTCGGTGGGCCGTGTCGACTGATCATCGCGGAGAGGAGTCTTGCGTGTCGACTTGGTCGTCTTCTTCCGCCGCTGTTTGTAGCTGGGAGAACCCTCGAAAAGAGAAAACGCCGAGAAGAACGGATTGTTGGGTCCCCGGAGTGCAGACCCAGCAGTGGCTCCGTTCCTAGACGCTTGTTCATCAGTGGAGTCCGCAGCGGGATCAGTACCATCGGCTTCTGGATCGCCTTGTCCTTCCGCAGGACTTCCTGACTTCAGGGCATCAGCTCTGCGCACCGCAGCCTCCAATTCGCCCTCGCCTTCGACGCCACCCTGAGCCTTACTGAACTGGTCGTACAACGAACGGGTGTGATCGTACGTGAAGGACGCAGCGGGTTCGCCCACAACAACAGTGGTGGGCTCAGCACCCATCTTCTCACGCTTCAGGTCCCGTTCTAAGGCATCAAGGAAAAGACGATCATGCGGAACAGAAAACCTATCGGAGGCAAGTGAACCCAATGAGCGACGGACAACAAAGATCCATGTTAATCCACCTACCAATAGAAGACTTTCTGCTTCTTCTGGGTGCGTATGCATTGGTACTTGAACAGGAGGTCAAGGAAGGGAGACTGTACAGGAGGGCAGGTTAGCCTGACGTGTCATAGGTACAATGGACGTCTAAGAGCCTACCTTCGGCTCCTCCAAACACGCATCCACACCCGGCTTCAGATTACGCAGATCACTGAAAACACCCTCCTCGAATTTCTTCATGTTCCTCACTGGACGACCAAACGCCTCGAAGCGAAAGACCAGTGCGCGGACGATGTCCGTACCAGTGATGTGGTAAAGACCACCCCACAGAACACAGGAGACATACTCGTGATTCGGGAGAAGGAATCTGTTCAAAGCGGGGTGGTTCGACTGCGGGTGGCCGATAGGAAACGATGTGCCGCTCTGCTCCTGATCCAAGGCTGACACTTCGGCATCGCTCCATCGCGAAGGTGCGGTGGCCAAGAAGAATTTCAGCCTGTCAAGATGGGCAAGGTTGTCCTGCTCCTGCTGCGTCAGCGGACGACTTGTGCCGCGTGCGCTCTCCCTCGACGAGGAGCTGGGCATAGGCGCTAATGGCAGTGACCCTTGGGGTAGTGAACCTGGATGGGGTCGCGGTGGCGTTTGTGATTGCGATTGGTCTGGAGGACAGTCTTCGTCTTCGTGAGGAGCTGGGACTGCGGATCTGACTTGCAACATTAGAGATGAAGAATAACTACTGTTCGGAGGAAGTTGTGAATAGTTGTACGAGTCAGACGACGACCTCTGTCCTTGTTGGTGATACAAAGACATAGGGGAAGTTGGTGCTGGGGCCGAAGTCGAATGCGAAGTAATAGTTGAATCGTAACTGGGGCCTGCAAAGAAATGATGTTGGGCCGGGTGACATATTTGCGTGTCCATTAGTTTAGCTGTATGCAATATAGGGAACGTCTTCCGTCGGTCTGGGTGGGGAGAGCGTAGACTGATATCGGAGTAGAGATGGGGTAAGCGACGATGCCTACCCTGAAAAAGGCGCGGCAACGCACCCTGTGCAACCTCGTCGACCACCGCAACGACGAAGAACGCCTCCTCAACTGTGGACTCAAAGGCTCTCGAGTAAAGACCGATAGACCGATTACAAGCAAGTGCAATACAAGAAAAGACGAAACGGTCGGGAGCGTATAATCCAGCGGAAGGACGCGGTGGACGGATGAGGAGGCGCACAGCAAAGCAGTTATAGGGGGGACCAGATCTATGTATGGCCGTCCATCCGGCGCTCCGGCCAGACTCCGGCCTTGGGCTCCCCATTGCTGGTAACTCCGGCTGGTTCCCCTTGCCGAAGGCAACCTCGGACCGAATCCGAAATCGCCGGCGCCTAATCGGCAGGCATTTCCTGCTCTCCTTTCGTCTGTTGCGAAGTGAGATCTCGCAGACTGCTGATGCACTTGAATCTGTACGTAACTGCCGTCGATTCATGACGAATATCTTCTGTCAAGATAACCTCTACGAAGTATTCTTTCGGGATCGAGCTCGTCCCCAGCGGTGCCCACAGACTGTATAAGGCGCGAGTTGCAATAAATCTGTGTGGCTTGATGGATAAAAGCCCACCAGCCTCCTCCCCCGCACAGCCCTGATAAATCCGCTGGGTACGGGCGAAGGCAGGAAACTCTTGCAGGCTAGACCTGATAGACCAGGACACCTATCTTTTCTAACATTGGATCGATTGGGTCACCTGTCCGCAAGAGAGGACTTCCTGGACTCACAGTGCGATCGTGTTGCATACTTTGGTTCTCAGGGAGGTAAGCTATTCCTGTTCATGCCGTCCTCGAGGAGGATTGGACCGCAAGCTACCGGAGACATTACCCATTCCTGCACTACCGTATTTCCCGTGCCCCGGTGGGTAATGCTATTGAATGACCTTTTCGCGGCGTGTACAAGGCTGACTTTCCCCCTCTCGTATGCTCGGGACCGACGGCGTTACACCAGAGGCTATAGCCTCTCTTGGGCAGCGCGTGACAAGGGGGTCTTGCATTTCATTCCGCCTAGGCACAAATTTCCTTTCCCCCGAAGTCGCGATTACGTCGAAGGACACCTGTGCTGCTCAGGGGGTTCCTGTGCTGCATATCTCCGTTACATACGTATACACGAGCTCGTATGCAGGTCGGCCTCTACCTCGTGTAGATTGAATTGCACGACAATCACGGAAAGCGCACGCGCGTGACACATGGCATTCCGGCAACTTTCAATTGTGAGGACCTCGGAAGCTCGAGTTCGTTGCGTACTTACGCTTGGGACGTGCAGAAACCCGGTTAGCGCTCAACCGCATGGACTGCACACAGCCTGTACAATCGGGTACATTGGCAATGACTGGATTACCCTCCCGGGCAACCGAAAAGATTAATATTTCGATGTTCATCATCATAGCCTCCTCTACGAAGTTAAGTCCCTTCCTGAGATTGAACTTTGGTAGGTCCTAAATAGTCCGGGTAGCTTTAACGGTGCTACCGGCCGTGGTGTCCCACCAGCCACAAACCGTTGATCTTTCCATTTCTCCGTCTCCCGCCCCCGCCCGTGCTCACCAGGCACGCGAGATCAGCGCAGGGAATGAAATCAGATACGCTACCCAAAATAAGATAATGATGGATCGTCAGCGCAGCCTTCTCGATTCCATGCCTGGGGGCCCGTGTCGACTGGACGTAGGGTGACCGTGGTTCGGCCTCTCGCCGCCCGGCGAGCAGAATCCCCCCTCGTGGCCTTTGTGCCCTGTTGTGCCTCAGATGTTTTCCCCCCTTCGACGTCCGTGTCAAGTCCGTGTACCTCCCTTCATCAAGATGAAGGCACAGGCTGTGCCGCTGTGGCGGAGTGTGGCTGCTCGTCATTGAGCTACTTTGCTCCCGATGATCTCGCAAAGGTCCGCGGGAGCAATTCGAATCTTCCCAGACCCAAAGGACCGGATACGCGGTTTCTTCCTGCTTCGCACCACGTGGAGCCACGAGGGAGGCCTAAGATTGGAGATCGCGGAGGCATCCGACGTGTACCAGAGGAGTTATCGGTCTTGCGGCATTGCTCTGTACGGTCACGACCATCATGTTCATCAAAATTGCTGGCATTTTGGATGGCTGACTATTGAACGATGGGTGATCTGCTGCGCCTTCTGCAGAGCTTTGGCGGATGGCCTATAGACTCCGGGCAACATTTCTGCCCGTTCTCGATGTATTTTTACGACGAGGACTGTTTCTGCCAACACAAAGTACATTTCAGAATGGACCTTGGATCTGAGAACGCACAGATCGTTTCAGACTACGCACAAGGTACGTACTTCTGGCCTCAGGGCTGCAGACTTCCCGCAGATCCCGCAGGATTGCAGAGCGTTCGCGCTGCGCAGAAACATTGATGACCTTCCAGACAGTCCAGTGTCACCATCGAAAGACCTTAGGTCACTCCAGCCCGAGTTGCCTCCTTGGTCAAGCATTTCACTTGCCACCTGAAATCCATGTTGGAATGTTAGTACCAAGATATGTAGAGGCAACTGGAGGCGCGAGCGTCCCACTGCCAGGCAAGTGAGATACACCGTTCGACATCCGATGATGCCGCGGTTCCTACGCTCCCAAACACGATGTTGTACTAGACATGACATGTCACGATGCCGAACACTTTGAGCTCTAAAAGGTGAATGTTGTCCCGGATACGCAATACAGATATGACACACCTTACAGAAAATACAAAGCCAGCAGCTTGGAGGGCTGCGCGGCCATGAGCCGAAACATCAACAGAATTGGACAACTCCAGGTTACAATCTGCGCTTCCGGATCTGGGGCCACAGTGCTGCAATAGATGCACGGCTGAACCTAACGACTAGTAGCCACCAGCCCTCTCTATGATCCGTGGCGGAAGGCCTGTTTCCGCTGAAGTGGAACTGAGCCATCGCAAACTGACAAGAGGACTGCGCGATCAGCATGTCATCCGTGGCCTGAAACGATGGATGGCCGCACTGGGATAGAACATAAAATCAAGGCCATCGTTCTGAATCTCTCCAGCATCCAGGGCCGATTCTCGACGCTGAGTGAAGTTAGGGTCACAACAATCCTGGCTTGGAAACTGGAACTCCCGTGACCAGACCCCGCCCTCCGCTTGAAGATGGACGAGCACATCTACAAGATAACACGGACGAAGGCCACGGCGGAGGTCCAGACCGAGGCAAGCCAAAGCGAAACATCAATACGCACCCACAAATCCCCACAAAATCGGGTGGATCGGGGGGGTACCACATGTGCATACCATGCTGAGATATCGCCAATCATACCAGCGGACTTTTACGCAAGAATCCTGCGCTTCTGTGTAGAGCTAGTGGGTCCCTCCCGAGGTAGGAAGTCATGGCACGGGAGGCGCGAGGCGCCCAGAGCCGGGCTTCCCGGCGGTCTCAGCAACTTGGATAATAAGACTAGCGCCCACTCCGGTCAGGCCGGGACGAGCATTGTCCTCATTTCCGATGAAAGCTGCACTTCTCTATGCAGCCGAATCCATTCGCAATCCAGGGGTTAGGGAAGAAAATGTCGATGTCGCCATCTTGATAGCACGTACCGACTTCCCAACCTTGGACAAGACAAGGTCCAACGTCCAGGAATACGCTTCCATAATGAACTCTAGCCTGCCAGTCACCACAAGCTGATCGGTCCGGAGGCGTAGGCATATCGCTCCGCCAACGACGGGCCAGGACCGAAGGCAACCGTCAGAGGGGGGTCGGAATTCGTGATTCGGAATTCCAGGAATAGAGCATCGTTAGAATACCTATCTCCAGGTGAGCTCTTGCTTGGCACAGGTAGCGGAAGCCGTTACCCTCGCCCTGGCCTGAGTAAACAGTTGGTCAGTGGCTTACACTTGGGTCCATGGCCGGTCACGCGATCCGCAGCTCCCACAACAATGTGCAATTCGTAGGCCTTCTGAACGACTCGCCACGCATTACGGCACGGATACTTACAAGTCGCCTCCCCACAGGATCCAGACGTAGTACATGAGGTACATCGGCCTTTGTCAGATTACCTGGTGCCAGATCCCTGACCGACCGGGATCGCGATCGCGCGGTATGTAATATTTGGAGAGCCTTCGGTCTTCGCTCAGTAATCGGCGAAGAAAGGGGTGGACTTGATGACCCGTGGCTGCTGGACTCTGTTCAATGATGACCATCCAGAAGACGGTACAAGCCACCTTGCGGAGGGCGGATATACCCGAATGGAAACTCCACGTACCTATCCAGTCGAGAATATAGATACTTCCTGATAGTCAGTAACGAATTTACCAGAGCCTTCGAATATTTGCTGAAGACAGAACGTCTCCCATCCACGCGAACTGTGTGTAAGGTATGCGGCTGTGAGGTAGGCATCTCGAACCGGAAGTGGCACTCGGAAGAAATCGCGACAGACCAAGGTTTCCAGGCGTGGGTGAGCGCGGATGCGATGAAGCTCGCAACTATCAGATGTGATCGTAATCTCCAATCTTTCAGCTACGCTCCACGGCTAACCATAGCTGGTGTTAACACCGAAGAATGAATCGCAGAAGCGCCGGTCATCATCGCGGACCGTTGATACTAGCGCCGAGATCCATTCGTCGTTCATTAGCACGGCGGGGCAAGGCTCGTCGGTTCTAGGCAAGCTACGCGAGGGGCGGTGCTGCAGGCCTTACTTGGTTCCGCGATAGGATGAGGGCTTACATTGGAAGGTCGGAGTACGAAGAACCCCCCAGGAGAGCGGATTCGAGCAAGTTGGGCCTGTCCGCAAAGATAGATCCGGGGTCATCGGATCATGAACGGTGATCTTCGGACAAGATCAGTGATGCCTGGCGAGTACGGTGCCGACCACACACGCGATACGTGCGCAAGGACATGACCTTTATGCTATAGTACGATTGAAGTGAGTGATAGATACAACGCAGAGCGTACTTCTGGACATCATTCGCGGACTAACGAAGACGGCCGACAACCGTAAGAGCTTGAGACTCACGAGAACCATCCTTTAGGTTTATACTCGTCGTCGTCTTTGACTTCCCCATCTCTCCTCTTCCGAATCTCCTCCAGGATATTCTTGACACCTTCGACGTCCCCGACACTGGCCCTCCCGCCACTCCAGTCGACCACAACAGGCCACTTGAAGGCTGAGGGGTTCGACGATGCCAGCTTCGTCACGCCGTCGAGGGTTTGCGGCTGCTCGCCTGGGGAGGGCGCTGTCGGGTGGGACGAAAGAAAAGTCGACGGTGGAGGAAGAGAGGCCGACCGAGACGGTAGGTAAGACAGGATAGTACGCAGCTGATCAGGGGTAGGAGGTGTGGACTCGACTACGTCAAGATCGAATTGCAGAGGAGGCGCGTTAGGTTTCGAAGGTGGATAAGGAGAAGAAACAGCCGCTTTCAGGAGGTTCAGTGCGTTGACTGACGGGGGTGAAGAGGGATTATGGCTGGAATAGTATTTTAATTGCATATATGATAGCAACAGTTCAATGTCATACGTACAAGATTGATATTTGCGGCTGCTCAGCAGTCAGTGGAGTTCAGTTATGACTCCACATGCTAAAACTTGGACGTACCAAGGACCGTTTGAAAGCGCTGAACATCCTGTTATGCTAGGGATGAACGGCCTGGAAATAATTACAGGTCCGCAGAGAGACGCAGTAGATGATGGCAGGAGTTACCAAGTCGTACTTGAACACGACGCTTTGAAGGCCGAAGCAGAGTCGCGAGCAAAGTGAAGGCCAGAGGACGCCGAACACTGGCTCAGGACACGATCCTCCGCAGTATGACGTAGCACTCACGTGACCGTGTGGCAATAATTACCGCGCCCAAAGACGCGCTGGCTGCTCGTTCGATTATTCAAGGACCCATCGTAAAACGCGCGACCGGTCGTGATTATGGCACTAATTACAAGTGGAACGGTTGATTCTGGGCCCCCCTTTATCATACCAGCGGTGAAACTCAATGTCATCAGTCCTAGCCTGATAGCAATAATAGGTTCAATCTCAGGAAGGCGCGGGAATCCCATGTAACCTATAATTGTGTCCTGGATTGACATCCAGGCTGAGAGGACGAAAGGTATCAGGCTAATCGAGCAGGTACATACCTGTATTTACTTGTATTCACGTCTACAGGGGTAACATCGTCGATCGGCCGCAGAACAAGCGGAAAAGGTGGAAGGAGAAGGCTGGTTCTAGGTATGAACGATATGCATTCTGACTGGATGAAGGTCGGACGAATCCCGATAGTAGGTGCCTTCGGTACCGTTCAAATGTATTGCAAGCTAAGCAAGTCTTCAGGGCGATCAGCTCAGGCTGCGCCGCGCAGAGTCCAAAGATTTCGCTGTAGTATACTACTGTTACGATGTGGCAAACATTTAGGTCCCGTTCGCCTGAGGATGACAGTGTTCCGATGACACGATGATGAGAAGCTGACAGAAGCAAATTGAAAGGTAACTCGATTGACACTTGCGACATGCGCTTACGACGGCGTCCAGTCTAGTGCTGCGGTAACTGCGCTGAGACAGCTACAGTCGACTCTGTCTTAACCCATAACGGGTCGTGGAACCCAAAAGTTAT